AAGTCTGGGGGTAAAACCCTGTAATGCAAATGTATTGGATACAACACTCTTTCGACAATGCTCATAAAACACTTCATAAAAAGCTTTCACAGAGCTGTGTAAGCACAGCTGAGAAGGTGAAAAGCCTTGGAATGAACAGCGGGGGGTAGTTAGGAGCAACTCCTTTATGTTGGCTGGCAGTGCTGTCAAATGGCTCTGATCATAGAACTAGATCAATTTACTTAGCAAGCGTTTCAGCAGAGGAACTATTAGCAGTAACCTCTGATTGCAGAAACACTTATGTCATGACTAGCCATTTGAAAGTCTAGCCACGTCAATCTGAAGGCAGAAAAGCTATTAATGCAATGAACTGGAAATTCACGTCTAGCGTCAAAAGAAAAAAAATAAATCGGAAAACATGCTATTTTAAAAATTAAATCCACATATTTGTATCACTTGACCACAGAACCTCCGTCAGTTACAGAACCTAACTGATGAGTTGCATTAGAAGGATCACTTACTACAGTCATCACACGATTGTCCGGAGGGAAAGTTTGAAAAGAGCGACATGCTCGTAAATCTACAGGATCTCGCAGGTAAAATGCCTGGACTGCTGCAGCCACCAACGAAGGGCGCTGCCTCAGCACTGCCACAATGCCTGCCGGAAGGTAGCAGTGGGCTCGGTGAAATGAGGCCTGAATTTTCTCAGGATACCTGTATCATACAATAGCAACATGGTGTATTAAGTGTATTGCAAGCCCAAACCACTCCTTTTTAATTATTATTCCCATTTGCACTTTAATATTGATCTATATTATGGGCCAAACGCCAGAAGGTTATTCTAAACTAAAGTTAAAACTCAGCTAACCTAACACCTGGAATGTCTGTTCACATATATACATATATGTAAATATACACGGCTAATAAAAATTTAATCCCCACATTGGTAAGATGAATCACTGTGAACTTGACTAACATGTCCAGTTATACAGTATCCTTCACCGCACTGAGTGGAGAAGTCATCTGGTTCACACTGTCAAATCCTTCCAAAAAATAACGTACAGTGCTGGACACACCTGTGGCAAGCTGATGCCCTGAAAAGCATGCTGGTTCTGCATTTTAGTTCGCAATCCTCCTTCTCCCCCCAGCAAAGGGCTCCTAAAGGCTCACAGAACTTTCAGATTTTTCAGTGCAAGAAGTGAAGGAAGCACAGTACAGATGTGAAGGAAAAATAACTCTTGTCATTGTCAGGTGTGGCATCATAGCAGTGAACCACTTTCAGAGCTGCCAGATCACAGTACAGCCTAGAGGACATTGGTCCCCCTCTTTAGAAGAATGCCACAGAAAAAAACTCTAGCTGCTGGTTTCTGAAAAGGAAGCAACTTTATCACATCTAACAGGAAAATGTTTGACTACAAGAATGTCGTGGTTTAACCCCAGCCAGCAACTAAGCACCACGCAGCCGCTCACTCACTCCCCCCCATCCAGTGGGATGGGGGAGAAAATCAGGAAAAGAAGTAAAACTCCTGGGTTGAGATAAGAACGATTTAATAGAACAGAAAAGACTAATAATGATAATGATAACACTAATAAAATGACAACAGTAGTAATAAAAGGATTGAAATGTACAAATGATGCACAGGGCAATCGCTCACCCCCCGCCGACCGACACCCAGCCAGTCCCCGAGCGGCGAAAACCCTGCCCCCCACTTCCCAGTTCCTAAACTAGATGGGACGTCACATGGTATGGAATACACTGTTGGCCAGTTTGGGTCAGGTGCCCTGGCTGGGCATGAGAAGCTGAAAAATCCTTGACTGTAGTCTAAACACTACTGAGCAACAACTGAAAACATCAGTGTTATCAACATTCTTCACATACTGAACTCAAAACATAGCACTGTACCAGCTACTAGGAAGACAGCTAACTACATCCCAGATGAAACCAGGACAAAGAAAATTCCCCTTACTGTTGCAGAAGACCAAGACAAAACACGCACATACCCACTGATGCGTTTATATACTGCTGTTCTAATGGGTTCTGCAGCCAGGAACTCCTCTGAACAGGTGGATAACAGCGTTAACGCCTGCGAGATTGTTGGACTGGCAGCAGATAGGTCGCATTCCTGCTCGTGAGTCTCTGACAGTGGAATGATGTGCAGTTCTCCTTTGTAAAAGAACACCTGGCAGATAGTAACATTCACATCAGACAGGATAAGAACAGTCACACACTAAGCAATGGAAAATTTAATTTCATATATGAATGCATTCGTTTAAACACAGAGAATACTGAAGTACAAATAGAGAAATAATACAGGAAACAGCAAAAATTTTTTTTTAAATGGGAGACAAGGTAAATGCAGATGCCAGAGACCATGATCCAACCAGTAAATAAAAAGCCCTATTTTAACTGCAACAAGTTTGGTCAAATATATCTTGCTTCCTTAATAACAGAAATACCAGAAGTTTCTCTTCAACTAGAGATTTGCTTCAGGAGAATCAGACAGCATAACCTAACTGCTGAAGAATAGGACAGGGACTAAAAAGCATTATTTCAGGTGCTACATGTGACCTCTTTTGGCTCCTGATCCTAAGAAAAGAACTGAATGTAACATTATCAACTCCCTCACTCTGTCTGTTCCCTCAAACAAAAGGAAAATATGGCCCCGATAGTCCAGACACAGGTTTGCAATTCATTTTTGTGTTGCGTTCTGCCCCTTTTCTTTTTAAGAGTCTTGTGGTAGGGAAAAAATAAAAGTTAAACAAATCTTCGCTAATGAAAAAGTAACTTCTTTCCTTTTAAATGCATTGCCACGAAACTCAGCGACATAACTACTAGCAATCCTCCACAGCGAGGAGATCAGGCTGCAGGCTCCGGGTGAAGGAGTCCGCTCATTAATTCACCTATGCCAGACCCAGTCTGTCCCCCTGCAGTGTCAGCAATGCTCCAGTCTTGAGGATTCCCCGATCTGAGGGCAGCAAACCCTTGTGCCTGAGCACTCGAGAATATGGTAGAAAAAAATCCAAGTGGCTACAGAAGAGCTAGAAAGCTCAGGTGGATCCAAGACTGCTCCCGAGGAGAGCAATATGGAATGTTTGTATTACACTGCCCAACACATTCCATAGCTCCCACGTTATCCAAGCTTTCCTTGCACTCCAATAACCTAGAAAATGGGAAGTTGGCCAAACTTACTGATTCTACAGATCAATCAATAGCATGACAGCTTCACTGCGTTCACATTTGCCACCATGATTAGCAAGTTTTAAAAAGTTTAGTCAGCTCTGCATTGTGGAACAACTCTTAAAGAATGATTTATGTGCAAGAGTCAGATCTAGCTGAACAACACAGACTCACAGCCTAGCAGTCAGGTCTCTAGTCTCCATATGAATGTTATGCCATTTGTATGAGAACAGAGTAGTATAAGAACTTTCTCTTTCTTCTTTCTGTCAACAAACCAATTCTAAAAGAACTCCTTGCTATCTGTAACCATTTCCCGATATCTCTACAGCAGTTTCTCAGAACGCACTCACTCTACATAGCATTCCGCAAGAGCATGCGGAACAGAATCGAGTATCAGAGGTTTCCAGTGGTTAAGTCTCTCATTCAACGTCCGCAGCAAGCATAAAGAAGCTCATTAAAACCAGAGTGAAAAGAGACTGTGCTGAAAAAAACCATGCTGTTACTTAAAACAAGTCTTGAGCCCTGACCAGCAGAAGCTTCTTCGGTAGTGAGGGAGAGATGGCACTTGGGGTTTTCAGTGGCAGACAGACCACTTGGCTAGATAGAGGTGCAAGAGAAAACTCCAACCGGTAAGTAAAAGGCCACTGTGAGCCACTCGCCAATTGGTACAGAACTTTTACTCACCCTGTTGTCACTATTCTCAGGATTCAGCCACTTCGGGAGAAAGTCAGCTGCTTCTATCAAGAGGAACTCCCCGTCGTTGTCATCGATCCTGGCCAAGGAGAAACCAGTTTCTTACCAGGGCAAGTGTCGCACGGCACAGTAACGCGCGTTTCTGAACCCAGTTAGCACGGGCAGGTTCCACGCCCGCGGTTTTTTTTAATGCCGAGGCACGACCTTCCGTCAGCCCCTGTCGGGATAGGCGCTGCCCCCTCGCACCCGCCGGGCGCCTCGGCGGGGCCCGCCGCGCCGCCCGGGGCCGTTACCTGGCCGCCAGCCCCGGGAACTCCCTGGTGATCTCCCGGACGAGGTAGACGATGAACCACTCGTCCTCCACGTTATCCCCGAAGAGCGTGGTGCCGCCGATGTGCGCCGGGGTCTCGCCTGGCCGGGGGCAGAGAGAGGAGAGGCAGCTCAGCCCGCCGCGCACGCCCCCCGCCTCCCGCCCCTCACGGCCCCGTCCCCCGGAGGCTCACCCCGCGGCGGCACGTAGCGCAGGCGGAAGGGCTGCCGCTGCCAGATGTAGGCGGCCAGCAGCGGCGCGAAGCGCACCACGATCCCCTCGGCGCAGCGCCGCAGCAGCGCTTCGCCTCCCGAGCCCGCCGCCGCCGCGAAGAGGCGGTAGCGCACCGCGTCCTCCGCCGGCGCGGCCCGCCCGAGCCCCTCCATGGCGCCGGGGCGGGCCGAGGCGGG